ATGCAAACTTTCTTAAAGGTTCATCTGAGTTCCAAAAGGAATCCAGATGATGCCAGATCCTCTTTGTAAGGATCCTAGAGATCTGTAAATCATATATGTTCATCGTATATCGTGCGGTCAAAAATTATTTTAAATATTTTTATTTAAAATTAAATACACACAATACCTGACAAAAACTGATCCCACGATGTATGATGAACGAATACGATTTACGAATTCCTAGGATCCTTACCAAAATGATCCGGAGAGGATCCTGTTGGTTCTAAAAGGTAATAATAAAGATGCTTAGAACTTGTAATAATGTCAACTATTTCTCATGAATACCTTATTAATAAATAGGCTGAACATGCTTTTCCAAATATTTTTCTTTTTTTTTATAATAATTTTTTGGGGTCTCACATGGAAGCTACTTCTCCATTGCTCATTTGACACGTGGAGAGGCATTGAAATTTATACATGGTTATTTGCTTGGTTTTTTGGGTAGTCAGGTACCGAGCACAACTTTCATCCAAGAGTGGTTAAAACCCACTTTAGCTGAGCTTGAGGCTAACAACATTTACATCCCTCCATAGACTTGTGTTCTCGTCGATGGCCAACACGTGGCTTGGTGTTGAGATCTGGCCAAACCTGCCCTTGGAGCTCTATGTCATAAAGTTGTCAGGTTTGTCAATTGTTTTGAGTGGTCAGAAAGGACTTTAAGTTTTGCGTTCATCCCTTACTGTCAACAAACAATCTAAGCCCAAAGCGGTCGTGCGGCAGTAATGCTCTGTCTGCTCAATTCCTTGGGCTAGCTTGTAGGCCCAATGTCTTGATCTTTCGCATCCTTTAGTGGTCTCTTCAAGCCTATGTCATTAGGTCCAACAACAATTATAATTATTTTAATGGGTCTAAAAGGACCCTTCGTTAACAATATTGCAATTCGATTATGCTATTATTCATATCTTAATAAAGATTTATGTGATATAAATGAAATAATGTCAAATCACATGTAGATATCTATGGTCACCATGATGCATCTCATGTTGAAGTAGTTCTTACAAACATAGCTTGATCAACAGTTACATTAGCTAGAGATTTTTGAGATGGATCTTCAAGTGGTTTCCATAGATATCTTCTTTTATTAAACAATTACTAGAAGATGATAGAGTCCTTATTTTGCAATCATGTATCCCCATCCTAATTGACACACCCCGATCGAGATCAGGGCATGCTGGCCGTCACGTGGAAGTCACGTAACTATGTGCACAGTGCGGAAGCTAATAATATAATAATGTAAATAGTACGAATAATTAAAAACGAGCGTTACACAAAGCAATAAAACAAGTGCCAACGAGTGTGAATTCTAAGTTCAGAGCAAGAACGCCTAATGCAGTCCAAAAGGAAACAATACGACAAAAGCACACCCGAAGGTGGTCCTACACTGGTGGTGGTCTGTCAGATATGCCGGGAAAATCCTTAGGGAATCCACCCAATGCGCTAGCCGACTAGAACCTGGAGGGGCGCAAAACAAAAGCGTGAGTGGGCAAAAACAAAGCTTTTCGAAAACCATTTAACAAATAAGTTATAACCCCTCGCTGTAAAACCTATATACTTCCCAGAAAATAGAATATATATACATATATATAGATATATATATATATATATATATATATATACCAATCATGCTTCAGGATATGCCATGCCAAATCTCACAATGAAATGCAAGTGCTCAGGTGAAAATCATATCAATATCAATATAGTCTGGCAGTCGGAGTCACCTAACGTGACCTGTACGGCTGAATCTAGAGCTCAAATCTCAGTAACTAACTAAACCTGCCCACAAGTCGGAACCACCTAAAGTGGTATGTACGACAAGCCTGGGTGTAATACATATAAGCGCTCTAGTGCTACGATCACATGAAGGCTGTGCGAATAATCGCGGATCACCTACGAGTCGGAACCACCTAATGTGGTCTGTACGACAGGACTGTGCACCTAACTTGGATCCAAGCTGAGCGTGTGGTGCGGGAGGTGAACAACACGTGAAGGACTGTGCCCAACTCTGGGCGGGAACACTAACACCGGGGGTGCAGGTTATGAGCTCTTTAAGCATCTCGAATTGCTACTGAATGTAAACATGAATAACACTTACCTGGCACTTACCTATGCGTCCGCAGCACCCAATATGCATATGTATATATATATACGACTAATAATGCAACTAACGATGCATAAATAACGATAATCTAATGCATGGCATATGGCAAATGACAATTCAAATCAATTTCTGGGAAAATATAAGTATATAGGTATATACGGAAAACCAAAAGCCCACTCACTGGTAAGTGGAAGGGTCGTAACCCCCTGCCTCGAGTGACCACGCTCGTCCTCGGGATACGTCTCACCTATATGCGAAACAACTATAAAAACGTTAATTTTAAAGTACATAACCAAACTTTAGAAATAACTTCTCATACAATGCTCAAATAGGGTGTATGAATACACCAACGTGATCTACTCAACCTCAGGAACATCCCCATATTTTTAAAATAATTTTTCACCGTCGCACGCTGACGGCATCAACTGACACCGTTAGGAATATTCCGTTATCCCTAACGGTTTCCGTCAACGGCGTCAGGAATATTCCGTCAGACTTGACGGAATATTCCGTCGTCTTCTCCAGCGAGCCTCCGGCGCTGTTGCCGGCGCTGGAAAATCAGGAAAATTTCAAACTTCAATATCTTCTTCGTTTTTCAACCAAATTTCACAAAATTGGTACCAAAATGAAGCTTACAACGAGAGGAACACAATCATACCACTTTCAAGTGCTAAAAACCACGAAATCTCACCTGGAAAATCACCCCAACTCCGGCCAACCTCGAAACTCGTGATCTCGACGTCCAAAACCTTCAAACGAACCACCCCGAGCCTTTTAGGGACCTCACCAAGCTTCCTACAAGCTTGAAATTCCCTAAAACGTGAGAAATTACGTGTGCATGAACAATACTAAAATCGGGCATCGTGGATTCGACGTGAAATCGAAGGTGTTCTTACCTGAAAAAGGTATAGTTGGACTCCTACGAGCCTCACGAGTCTGAATATGTGCTTGGATTTCACGATCTGTGAAGGTTCGATGGGTTTGTGGGTGTGTCCGTACGTTTCAAAGGAAATGGGAAGGGAATGGGGACTCGGGACAGTGTGCAGGAAACAGGAGGAAAGGTTGTGGTGTGTGGGAAAGTGTGTGTGGCCTACAACATGCCAACCAAACTAAAAAACAACCAATAAACGTAAAGAAATCGAACTAGGGGCAATTTTGTCTTTTCACACGTACGTTGTAATATTTCTGGGACGGGCTGTCACACTAATACACATGAACCAATCATCACACTATAAGGCCTGCGAAGCTTTGACTATACCTGGTTGTAGAACTATGAGGCGTACATCACACATGCCAAAGACACACACTTGGTTGTCCTGACATCTAGTTTGTAACAATTCAAAGTTTGGATGTGAACAAAGCTTTGACTATACCTGGTGCTTCATCCCGTGGTACTCTCTCATTTCCAACAAGGAAGCCAGCAAACTGTCCTAACATTGTTGTGTGATTGCCCTCTTCATTGCCTTGACCATGTGAGGCTCCTCTGTGTCCTTGACTTAGTAGATAAGCTGCAAATTCATTAATAAGTGACAATGGATTTGCAGTGAACTCCATGGATCCTAGTGAAGTGGTAGAAGGATGAGCATTAGCAACTTGTGCCTTGTAGTGGGGTTGTTGAGAGGATCTTGGTATCATTTTTCCATCTATGCTAAACTTAGGCTTGAGTTCAGGATGGAGTTCCCAACACTTTTCTTCCACATGCCCAACACCATTGCAATGTTTGCATTTTAGGTGTGTATTTCTACCCTTGTACACTTTGACCTTTGAGTTCTTGTAACTTAAACCATATGCACGAGTCTTAGTCAATCTTGAGTTCTATTCAACATTCATCACCTTCTTCCTCGCTTCTTCTCGTTGAATAGTGGCACAGACATTGTTGAAGGTGGGCAGTTCTTGACTCATCAAGATATGACTCCTTAGATCCTCGTACTCAGAGCTCAAACTCCCTAGTAGCTGGTAAATTATGTCTTCCTCAGCTCGTTTTAGGAGAATGGTAGGGTATGTGGTGTGTAAGAGATAGACATCCAACTCATTCCACATGGTTTTGAGGCTCCCAAGATGTTGAACAAACGCTTTCCCTTCTTATTGAACACTAGCAATGTCCTTCTTCAGTTGGAAAACAAGTGCATAATTGTTTTGATTTCCATACATATCCTTCATGGCTTTCCAGAGATCATGAAAGGAAATGGAGTAGCTACAAATATTAGCAACATGTTTCTCCATGGTGTTGAGCAGCAAGGACATGACAAGTTGGTCTTTGCACAGCCATGCATTGTATGTGGGAGAAGAACTATATAGAGCTTCCACACTTCCATTTACAAACCCCAACTTTCCTTTACCTCTGAGTGCTAGCGAAATAGATCAAAACCAAGGTAATTGAACTCGTTCAATAAAACTGAACATAGATGTTGATTGGTGTTAACCTCAACATCTGAGAAATTTGAGGAGAGACTATGTTGGGTCTCATCTTCACGGTTCACTGAACTTTCTTCAGTCATGGTTCAGACTTTGAATAAAGATCGCAGCAGTAAGAGTGCACAGAGATAGGTTATCAAAGAACCTACTCTGATAACATGTTGATTTTCCAGTTAAAATTGTAATGTATTTCATGAGTATCAATGTACAAGAGACCAAGTATATAAGAGAGAAGAGAGAGGAAGGAGAGTTGGCTGCAAGCAACCAAAGGAAACCCTAGTGACCGGGTAAATCAAAGGGAACCCTAGTGATCGGGTGAACCTAGGCCTAATCTAATCCTTAAATTAAGGAATTACACCAAACACTAGGTTAAGTCACTAATCAGTCAATTCCCTTAAATCAAGGGAAGATGGCTGTTTTACAAGTTTAAGATATAATGATGGCCTTGATAGTTAACCCTAGGGACCGAGAGTCCTTAAGGTTATACTTACACTTCAACATTTTTTATCTAATTTTAGGGTTGGTTTGTTTGTTTGTTTGTTTTGCTATTGTATTTATTTTCTAGGGTTTTGGGTCTGTTCATATGGCATTGGATTTCTCTTATTTAATCGAATTTCTTTTCGTTTTCCCTGCAGTTTTGTGCCCTTGATCGAACAAGTGGGTCTTCAACCGCGGCTGTCCCACAAATACAGGTAATGTATATGTGTATTCATGTATGTATGTATATTTTATGTGTAGGTAGTGTTTTGTTTGTTCAATATGTGAATATGAATTGGGGATTGTAGTTTGATGCTAATATGTTTGGGTAGAAGAACATGGAAATCAATTTTGACCCGTTTTCGTAGAATAGAAAAAGAGATTGAAATTGCCTGGTTGGTGAAGAAGTGACAAAGTCTGATTCATTGACTAGATAAGGTAAACATGGAAGATTAGGTTAAGTATATTCCAGTAAATGGGGATTTCACGACCTGAGCTTTTGATTAGGGGTGTGAGCTTTTTTTTTTTGTGGGGTTACATATATGTTGGTGCTGATGGTTTGGACTACAGAAAGATGGGTGAAAGACTTGTGAGTGGTGAGGCCAGGTTGGGATTGAAGCTATTATCATTTATCGGTTTTCTAGCTGATATGGAAGGAGATGCATGAGTTGCGTTTCTATTTTCTAATGAGGTAAAACAGATAGGGATGAGCAATTTTGTTAGGGATGTATCCACTGTTGGAAATTCAAATTAAAAGTCATGTGACCTGTCCATGTGATGCTAACCTTTCTTTACAGATTGTTTCCAGCAAAATATAATCATCATTGCTCCTTCATTATTCAGCCGAATGGTGATGAAAGACAGCAAGTGTGCTGCCATGTGATGTGCTAGCAGGAAGACAACAGTGTGCTGCCATGTGCTAGTCGAATCTGTGTTATTTGCAGCTGGAAAGACAGCTGCTATGTGCTAGCCGAATGTAGACAACCTGGAATACATTTGGTCTCTTCATTTTCACGTTCCCATGTGTTAAAGACAGCAGATATGCTGCTGTCTGTGTGCTGTCAATTGATGGTGTAAATGTGTAGGTTGTGTTGTATTTAAGGAAGCCTCTCGTAAGGCTTTAGTGCATTAATCCCATCTGATTTGTCATTCAATTCTAGAAGTGTATTTGCAATATGTTTTTAATATCAAAGTGCCTTGTTTGCCAAAGCTTGTAGCTTCCCTCATTTCTCAATTTTTGTCCAATTTTATTGAGAGTGAAAGTGAGAGGTGTGATAGAGTTTGTAAACTTATCACCCACATATTTTGGTATTGAGTTAGTAAACTTTTCAATACCAACAATTGGTATCAGGGCCAGAATACCATTCTGGCAGGTGCAGCAGTTATGGCATCCAACTTAGTGCAGCTCCAAGTTCCCACATTGAAGAAAGAAAATTATGAAAGATGGTGCATCCAATTCAAAGCATTGTTTAGATCACAAGAGTTATGGGAAGTTGTCAGTAATGGGTATGTTGTACCCACTACCGAGCAAGAAGCCACATATACTGCAGATCAAAGGAACACTCTCAAGGATTTACGAAAGAAGGACCAGAAGGCGTTGTATCTTCTTTATCAAGGATTAGAAGATTCAACGTTCGAGAAGGTTGCAGAAGCAACAACGAGCAAGCAAGTATGGGACACACTCAGTACAATCTACAAAGGAGTAGATCGGGTCAAGAAAGTGAGATTACAGTCACTTCGAGCAGATTTTGAAACTGCTCACATGAATGAAGGAGAGAGCATCTCCGACTATCACTCAAGGCTCATTGTGATAGTAAATCAGATGAGGAGAAATGGCAAGAGACTCGATGAAGTACGAGTTGTGGAGAAGATACTCCGGTCACTCACATCTAAGTTTGAGCATGTGGTGACTGCCATTGAGGAATCCAAGGATTTGGAGGCGATGAGCGTAGAGGAGCTACTAGGATCCCTCATAGTTCACGAGCAACGCATTCAGAAGAATGCAAGCCCCACAACGCTAGAGCAAGCTTTGGAGTCAAAGTTGAATATTGACACACCAAATAAAGGTCGTGGGCAGTGGAACTCACGTCGTGGGAGTTCATCCAACCGTAGCCGAGGACAAGCCCGAGGAAAAGGTCGAGGCTATGCACAAAATCTAGGTCAGTCTCAGGAGTGGAGATCTACTCGAGGAAAGGCGCATATCCAGTGTCACAGTTGTAAGCAGTATGGACATTATGCAAATGAATGTTCATATAAAAATGGTGAGCATGTCAACATGGCAGAATCAAGTGGAAATGCTAGTGAAGAACTTACAGTCTTACTAGCACACCATGATATCAGTAGCCAACAAGATGTCTAGTATTTAGACTCTGGTGCAAGCAACCACATATGTGGAAAGAAAGAGTTTTTTGCCGAACTCAAAGATGGGCCTTATGGATCTGTGAGTCTTGGTGACTCCTCAAAGTTGCCAGTTGAAGGCAAATGAAAGATCAAAAATCATCCAGAAGGATGGTAAAGAAGAATACATCTCCGATACCTACTACATACCAGGTATGAAGAGCAACATTTTGAGCATTGGTCAACTACTCCAGAAAGGGTATGTTATACATATGGAGGATATGTTTCTCACTCTCAGGAATGCAAGAAGAAAGCTTATTGCACGTGTTCAAATGTCAAAAAACCGAATGTTCCCGTTGAAGTTGAACACAAAGATTGGGAGTTGCAACATCGGTGTAATGGAAGATGGGTCATGGAAATGGCATCTTCGGTATGGCCATCTTCATTTCAATGGCCTAAAGTTGTTGTCAAATGAAGGAATGGTTCGTGGTCTACCCCAGATTGAAGCCACACGCCAAGTATGTGAAGGTTGTGTGCTTGGCAAGCAAGCACGGCTATCATTCCCTGTTGGTGATACATAGAGAGCAAGGGCACCACTGCAGTTGGTGCACACAGATATATGTGGTCCATTGGATCCCATGTCTTATGGAGGTAATAGGTATTTTATTACTTTCATTGATGATTTTAGTAGGAAGACTTGGGTTTATTTTCTCAAGGAGAAGTCGGCTGCCCTAAAAATCTTCAAGGAGTTCAAGGCACTCACAGAGGCTGAAAAGCAACCACAAGCTTGTGGCTGTGAGATCAGATAGAGGTGGAGAGTACACCTCCAATGCTTTCCAAGCATACTGCAAGGAGCAAGGAATTAGGCATCAACTGACTGCTGCCTATACACCACAGCAAAATGGGATAGCCGAAAGAAAGAATCGAACCATCCTTGACATGACAAGGTCCATGCTTAAGGAGAAGAATTTGCCAAAAGAATTGTGGGCAGAAGCTGTAGCTTGTTCGATTTATTTGTTGAATCGATGTCCAACAAAGAGTGTTAAGAGGATGACACCACAAGAGGCTTGGAGTGGGTACAAGCCGAATGTTGCACACCTAAGAGTTTTTGGGTGTGTTGCATATGCTCAGGTTCCAGAAGCCAAGAGGAGAAAGCTCGATGATCGAGGTGAAAAGTGTGTGTTTGTGGGATATAGTGAAGAGTCCAAGGCATACAAGCTCTACAACCCACTAACTGGCAAATTAGTGGTTAGTAGAGATGTCATCTTCAGTGAGGAAGAGGCATGGAAATGGAACAACAAAGAAGTCAGTAAAGAGAAGATCGTTTCCACTGATTTTGAAGAACCAGAAGTTGTACCACCTGTTGAGCAACAACCTGCTCAAACAACCACAACAACTCCATTGCACATAACTGCAAGGAGTGGTCCGACATCTAGTGAAGAAAGTAGCTCTTCAACTCCAGTAAGTTTAAGAAGTCTCACCGAGATATATGGACAAGAAGAAGAAGAAGAAGAAACCAACCTTTTCTGCTTGTATGCAGACCACGAGCCTCTCTCATTCAATGAAGCTGTGGAAGAAGATCGTTGGAGAATAGCCATGGAGGAAGAAATCCATGCTATCGAGAAGAATGACACTTGGAAGTTGACAAAGCTTCCACCAAATCAGAAGGCTATTGGTGTCAAGTGGGTGTACAAGATCAAACGCACTGCAGATGGGAGTGTAGATCGGTACAAATCAAGGCTTGTAGCAAAGGGCTACAAACAGAAGTATGGAGTGGACTATGATGAAGTCTATGCTCCAGTTGCAAGACTTGACACGGTAAGATTGCTAATCTCTCTTGCCGCTCATCATAAATGGAAAATTTATCAACTAGATGTCAAGTCAGCCTTCCTTAATGGAGTTCTTGAGGAAGAAGTGTACGTGGAACAACCGGAATGCTTCCAAGTACAAGGAGAAGAAGAAAAGGTGTATCGTTTGAAGAAGGCTTTGTATGGCCTCAAGCAAGCACCACGAGCTTGGAACTCAAGGATTGATAACTACCTTCACCAAAATGGATTTCAGAAATGTCCATACGAGCATTCAGTTTACATGAAGAATGGTGCAAAAGGGGAGTTCTTAATTATTTGTCTCTATGTAGATGACTTGTTGTTTACAGGAAATAATGAAGCAATGTTCTGTGAGTTCAAGCAATCCATGTTCAGTGAATTCGAGATGACTGACAATGGATTAATGTCATACTTTCTTGGCATAGAGGTGAAGCAAGAAAGTGACAGTATCTACATCTCTCAACAAAAGTACATGAGAGATATATTGGAGAAATTCAATATGGATAAGTGCAATATTGTCAACACTCCAGTTGCAACTGGATTGAAGCTGTCCAAGGAAGGAGAAGGTGAGTTTGTAAACTCAACCGTGTACAAAAGCTTGGTTGGAAGTCTAAGGTACCTTACAATCACAAGACCTGATATAGTTTATGGTGTTGGACTCGTGAGTCGATACATGAAAACACCAAGGGAGTCTCATTGGCTGGCTGCTAAGAGAATTTTGAGGTACATAAAAGGTACTCTAACTTATGGTCTGTTTTATAATTTTGGTGAAAATGCAAAATTATTTGGTTATTCAGATAGTGATTGGGGAGGTGACCAATATGAAAGGAAAAGCACAACTGGCTATGTGTTTTTTCTAGGATCAACAGCTTTCTCATGGACTTCAAAGAAGCAATCAATTGTTGCTTTGTCATCATGTGAAGCCGAGTATGTTGCTATAGCCTCAACAGTATGTGAAGCAATTTGGTTAAGAAATCTATTGAAGTCAATGTGTCATCCACAAGTGGAATCGACTGTGATTCATGTGGATAACATGTCTGCAATCAAGCTTGCAAAGAATCCTGTTCAACATGGAAGGAGCAAGCACATTGATACCAGGTTCCATTTTCTAAGGGACCATGTGAAGCAAAAGACAATTGAGCTTGTCTATTGTCACACGAAGGAACAAGTGGCAGACATCTTCACTAAGCCATTACCAGTTGAATCATTCCGGCTGTTACGTGAAATGCTAGGCATGAAGGCATTTTAATTTGAGGGGGCATGTTGGAAATTCAAATTAAAAGTCATGTGATCTGTCCATGTGATGCTAACCTTTCTTTACAGATTGTTTCCAGCAAAATATAATCATCATTGCTCCTTCATTATTCAGCCGAATGGTGATGAAAGACAGCAAGTGTGCTGCCATGTGATGTGCTAGCAGGAAGACAGCATTGTGCTGCCATGTGCTAGTCGAATTTGTGTTATTTGCAGCTGGAAAGACAGCTGCTGTGTGCTAGCCGAATGTAGACAACCTGGAATACATTTGGTCTCTTCATTTTCACGTTCCCATGTGTTAAAGACAGCAGATATGCTGCTGTCTGTGTGCTGTCAATTGATGGTGTAAAGGTGTAGGTTGTGTTGTATTTAAGGAAGCCTCTCGTAAGGCTTTAGTGCATTAATCCCATCTGATTTGTCATTCAATTCTAGAAGTGTATTTGCAATATGTTTTTAATATCAAAGTGCCTTGTTTGCCAAAGCTTGTAGCTTCCCTCATTTCTCAAATTTTGTCCAATTTTATTGAGAGTGAAAGTGAGAGGTGTGATAGAGTTTGTAAACTTATCACCCACATATTTTGGTATTGAGTTAGTAAACTTTTCAATACCAACATCCACTGAGGTTTCATTTAAGTTTACAGTTTGATGGACCTCGTAGCTGACTACATAGATTTTGGAGTTCTGATCTATTCTATTAATATATTGGTGCCCTTAACAAGTTGGCTTTTCTTCTTTGTATGTTCTGCTTAGAAGTTTAGTATTCATTTTCTTTGTAGAATTATGGTACTGGTTTCTCTTTCATGCATTATCTCTTACTTTCTATATTCTTCCCTTTTGTTGTATGCCATTAACATAAGAAAATGAGGGGAAAAGGGGGATCTCTGCTGGTGTTATATAAATTTGTTTCTTGCATTGAATTTTGTGGGTTTAGGGAGCAAATATACAAATCCACAAGAGTATGCACAGGTTGCTAAGCCCTAAATAGTATGATTCTGCAAGTAAGATAATTTAAATTACATGATTACGCTACATTTGTTTTATATTTAAATTACATGTTTATGCTTCATTTGTTTTATTTCATATATTTTTCCGCATCTGCTTTGCTGTTATGCCGTTGTTGGCATTGAATGTTGATTGTTCAAACCTTTAATTATGAAAGTATGTGCAGAATTCTGTGCATATATAATACTTGTGTTAGTGTGCGAGCGTACACATGCTCTAGTTCGTCTATTGTTTTCTTGAGCATGATGGACTTTCTTTGTCAAACTAACCTCTATTGACAAGAGATTTTGCTGGAGTTTCGTGCTGGTAAAATGGTTTCTAAGGGGAAAAAGGTTGCTCCTGATACTTGTAAAGGACTTGTTCGCATAGCAAGGATATGGTTTTAGTTGACGTTCTATCTAATATTTAGCTGAACTCATTTCTGGCACAGCCTTTTAGTAAATTTCTCTTCTTTCTGTATCAGGGTGATGAGGGATTGGTGCATTTTCAGTGGCTTGACCGTAGTCTAAATGTTGTGGAAGATGTATCCTGGTTTCTTTTTCATTTTTGCGACAATTTCTAGTCTTCTTTTAAGTTCTTTGTTAGTGTAGTTGTGCTTCTTCTTGTTATTTTTAATGTTGCTATTTTTGTTCTTCCATACTTTCTCAATTCTCCCTTATTCTGTTGTAATCCTTGTTCACTTCACAGTTTCACTATTCCATTTTTTGTGTTTACTCTCCCACCTTATATTTATCTTTACTTTTCTTAAAATTTCCTTAATGATAGTACCACAGGATCAGATTATATTTCCTGACGAGGCAGTGTTTGAAAAATGGTTGACAGAACCAAGTCCATTCATTTATTTGCTGGAAATGTTTTCTCAAATTCTAACTTCTTATGGATGTTGTTTTGGTCTCTCCTAGTGACTTGAAAGAAAACAAAAGTTTCCCCTCCTGGTATAGTAGCCATTGTAATATTTTAAAATTATGTTCTTACAATCAGACTCTCCCGTAAGAAAGCTAAGATGGGGGGGTATTAGGGACGTTAGCAACTTTTAATGAGTTTTTATAGTGCGCGACATATCTGGACTTGCTATTTTCAGTTTGATGTTCTTGGCATTTGTAGTACATTACTCTTTTATGATTTATGTTATGTCTTCCAAAGCTGGAATCTTGCAGGAACCAAACTTGGGTGGGGAAGTAAGTAGCAATGTAACTTCTTCATCTGGGCCAGTGAAATTCGCAGATCTTCAAAGAATCTTAAGTAATATTGAGCCAGCAGGTACTATGTTTTCTCCTTAGAGTACAAATTTTTATGTAAGTTTTTTCCCTTTCTTTTTAATTGAATTACTTACATCACACTTCTGCCATCTGCAGATAGGGCTGTGGATCCAGATGAAGGTGATAATATGATTTTTTTTTTTTTTTAAATATTTTTTTGCCATTAATGTTGTTTTTAGATAAATACATTCGTACAAATGCTTTAAATCCAAAGTTTTGTGATTAAATATGACCTGTTTTCCTCTGAATAGGAATTTTATTACAGTTTTTGTTATCTCAACAATCTAATGCGTTGCATAGTTTTAATTCAAAATGCTCTTCCAAATTTTTACTCAAATGATGAAAGCAGTATTGTGAACATTGAATATGTTGCTTATTTCCTGTAGTGAAAATCGTTCATGTGTTAGAAATTACTTCAGCATGACACGGTCAAATGTTATGAATCCCTGTGTACTAGGTAGAAATATTGCAACTGGGTTCATATTGTTGGCCTGGTTTGCTTTTAGCATCTGAAGTAATTTATATCTTTAATTCACTCGATAATTAACAGTTTTACAATTCAAAAAGGATGACGCGGGTGGGCACTGGATGTCTAAAAGAATAGTTTCCTAGGAAGTTCAATTTTCTTATTGCCTTATATCCTTTTCTTTTTTCGTTCTTCCTTTTAGTGGCCTTTCCCTCAACTGTCATGGCAGTATAGTCAAGTTACTTGCGGCAAAAATTTACGTTACTCTGTCCAGATTGCACATTGACCCTTGGTTCAGTTAATCTTTTGTGAAGTGCAAGTTTGGTAGGGAGGCATAAATCGATTAATTGATTTGGCAGAACATAACAGAATTGATCACAGAAGGTTCAGGGTGTAAGGTGAGTATGAATTTGGACCGTTCGCAGAGGACCTAAAGTGGTTTTTAACTGTTAATTTTTCGCATTAACTTCTCTAATGGTACCTGTCAATGATTATTAAAGATTTCTAACAATATGCATGCCGGCCCATTTTACTACAGTATTTACAATACTACTTCTATGGTTGCTTTTTTTTAATTTTTTTCTCCTTGAAATATGTTATGGCTTAATCGTGTGACTTGTCCTTTTGTCGGGCTAGGCGTGAGTTTGGAGGATATATTGAAACCAGAGTTGATTATGCCATTGATTGAGACATTGCCACTGGAACAGGGCTTAGGTTCTTACTTTCCTGAGGTATGCAATATTCTGGTGCACTACTTTTCTGTATTGTTGATCTCTTATACACTAGCTTTGCTCCATTGTTTAATTCGCTTGAGGTTGCAGGGTCAGTGGTCGCCTGAGGATATATTGGAGTTGCTGCACAGTCCACCTTTTCGCCAACAAATGGATTCATTTGCTTATGTAAGAATTTGAAAACTCATCTTGTGGAATTTTGATTGTCCGTTTCTTTAATGAGGGTGAAGCTGTTTCTTTCTTTTATCATCCGTACATCCTAAACGTTCATCTTTCCCTTAATGTTTATTATAGGTACTTCGAACAGGACATATAGATTTGACTCCGTTTGGTATTGACCCAAGTAAATGTAAGGACTCCATATCTTGTAGCTTGTTGTTGTACTCATGCTTGCTGAATGATTTTGTCTGATGCTAATGTTGTTTTCAGTCTTTTGCTTCCGCTTACAGATTGTATGCCATCAAATCTGTACGATGATAATTCATGGATTTGTTACTTATGGTTTTTATTACTTCTTTCTTGCAGACAGGTTCACTGGATTGTCTTTTCTTGAGGCACTTGAGGATTCGGTTGCAAAGACGTCAGAGTCTGAGGAGCCGAGGCAAGACAACACGGATTTAAGATCTGAATCTTGTAATCGTAAGGATGCCATGGATGAGTCCAAGTAGTGGAGGCACTTCTTTATACGTTTCTGTTAAATTTATCGTTGTTTTATTCGTAGGACTTTTATGTGGTCGTATTGTTAGCTCTGTATATATTGTTGGTTCTAGAAAGGAAAAGAAGGAACAAGAAAAGGGAATAGTGTTGAACTTTGTTTAAATTTGCTACTGTTTTGTACAACGATCGATTAGACATCCGAAATGTTTCACATTTTCTTCATTATACATGTTCGATCGGTTATCATATTCGAACATCAAAGTTAACAAGCAAACAGGTCAAACTTTTTGGTAAGTGAACATGTACACGAAGGGTCGAGTGTAGTGTGTTTCTTCATTGCGTCACAAATGTATGCAAGTAATTTTTGGCTCTAGTGTCATTGGCACTCTCACACATGGTATGTATGTAAGGCAAGGCAGTAGTTGTAGAACTGGAAAAAAAAAAAAAAAAAAAACAAAAGGCAAAGGAAAAAGTGGGGGTGTTTCAATTAAATTTGGTTATATTAGAACTAAATAATTGTTTTTTAATAGAGATATTTCTAGGTTAACTTACACTAGGAGGACGGAAGGTTTGGACTTGGGCGGCATTGGATTGAAGAGGATGGCTCTAACAACCGGGGTAAGTTACATATTAATAAGTATTGTTAACTACAAAGGAGTTCAACATGTTTGGGTGGAAGGGGATTCTAAGATCATTATTGATTCGGTTACCAAGAAATGTCCATGGAGAATTAGGGTTATTATTGAGGGTATCAAATTGCTTGCGAGATCATTCTCAACTATTTGATGGAGCATGTTTTTAGGAAAGCTAAATTTCTTGCAGATGCTATCATTAGTATTGATTTTTCTTGCCAAAATACTTGTATTTGGTTTAGGTCGTTTTCTTAGAGAGGTGAAATCTGTCTTTTTATTCAATTGTCTCGTATTTGGGATAGATCTTTGCTTAAAGAGGTGAAACCTGTCTTTTTATTTGCTTGTATTAAAACTGGTTGAAATTTATTTTTGGATCAAATAATAAAAGGTACAAAAGTGTAAAAAAGGTCCGTTGATTAAAAATTTCATCATTATGAATGTATATTAATATTACACTTTATAGTATAAGCTCTATCGCCCACTAATGTAAAATATAAGGGAGTGAATTTTGTACTCTTTTCTTTAAGAATTTTTAATTGTCGCTCTTAATTTTTTTTCTTTTGAGAACTTAGCACTTAAAAAAAATTATTTTACACTTCTTATAAATGTATCTATCTTTCTAAATATAGAAAATTTAGAATACAAAATGAGAATTTTAAAGTGTCAATAACAATTCTTTTTTGTTTTGTTGAATTTAATAGCTAAATTTCCTAAACAAATAACTAAATAAAATTTAATGGCTAAAAAAATAGATTGGACAAGACGCCCCGATTTTGGGAGGGCTTATTTGTATTTCAACGTGTTACCAAAACGCACCGTGTTGGTTATCATCGTTTCTTCCCTCCTCCTAAACCCTAAACCCTAAACCCTAAACCCTAACCCTTACCCCCGTCACAGTCCCTCCTCGCTGCTTGGAGTCTCTATTTTCCTCTCTCTCTCTCTCTCTCTCTTCTCTATTTGTTGGCTTTCGGCAAGCTTTAGAAAACCCTAATAAGATATACCAACAGAGATAAAGAGAGAGGGAATGGGAATATTCGAGCCGTTCAGAGCAATCGGCTACACAACCAGCTCCGTGCCCTTCTCTGTTCAGCGCCTCGGCACCGAAACCTTCGTCACTGTCTCCGTCGGCAAGGCCTTCCAAATTTACAACGTAATTTTTAATTCATTTATTTATTTATTCTTCAAGAATGCCCATTAATTTATGCTTAATATTTTTTAATTTGTATTTGGTTGCAGTGTGCAAAGCTCAGTCTCGTCCTCATTGGTATGTTTCTATGTTCTTTTGTTTTCAAATTTGAAGTTTTAATTTTTATTATTATGAACAATATAATTATTTGAATTACTATATAAAGTAATGTTCGGAATTGATATTAGTAGTATCAACGAAGAAATGGGACCAAGTTGGCAATACGTTTGCCTAAATTCTTCCAAAATATCTTGCTTTCGATCAATCCTGTGCACGAATCTGCATAAAGGGTTTTTGTTTTTTGTTTTTTATAATTTTTTTTTTTAAAAAAAAATTAGCTGGAGTTGTTTAAAAACTTTAGTTTTACTTTCACAAAAGAATGAACAAACCGTTGCGGGTGCAAAATAACAACACTTTTAATGTTGGAGAGCAGCATGACGTTATGCTGGAGAGCAGCATGACTTTATACTGGAGGAGCAGCATGACATTATGCTGGCAATGTTATTTTTGGTTTTGTTTTTCCAAATGCTTTTGACTGCAATTTTGTAGGCATTTTAGGTTATTTTGTTCATGCATTATAATTATGATAATTTTTTTATCACCTATGAAAGGTCCACAATTGCCAAAGAAGATTCGAGCTCTTGCTTCCTACCGTGATTATACATTTGCTGCATATGGGAATGAGATAGCCATTTTTAAGCGAGCTCATCAGGTTGGTTGGCAGTTCTTTTCTATAAATTTTTTTTAAAAGGAACGAATGTTGCTTATGTAGTCCCACCTGCCCTTGTCTTGATCCCAAGATACCTCCACACCCATCCTTTGTTTGTACATTTCAGAGTTATTGCTTTCTTTCCCTTTGGTATTGGCTAACCATCCTAATTTCAAAGCTCTTAATTAGAATCTTATAAATAACCTGCTACAGGTTAGTCATATGCATCTGTTATCAGAAGTATCTGATGGACTGAACTTCACGTTTAACACGTTATTTAATATTTTAACAGTTAGCAACATGGAGCAGCCATAGTGCCAAGGTCAATTCTTTGCTATTGTTTGGAGAGCATATCCTAAGTGTTGATGTTGAAGGTAATCTGTTTATATGGGCATTCAAAGGAATTGAGGAGAACCTTACTCCGGTCGGACATGTTATGTTAGACAACAACTTTAGTCCTAGCTGTATAATGCATCCGGATACCTACCTAAATAAGGTAAATATATTCTCAAAGAAGCTCTATTGCAATTTTCAATGCAAAATAATCATAAAATGTTCAGTCATTAAATTTGATGCAGCTTCATTTTCCTCTCAATTTAAGGTTAAAAGCTATCTATAATCTGTACAGATTATTATTGGGAGTCAGGAAGGTTCTCTTCAACTTTGGAACATCAGTACAAAGAAAAAACTCTATGAGTTCAAGGGATGGAATTCTTCAATCTGCAGTTGTGTTTCATCTCCTGCAATAGATGTTGTTGCAGTTGGTTGTGCTGATGGAAATATTCATGTTCACAACATTCGTTACGATGAAGAGCAAGTCACATTTTCTCATTCGGCACGAGGTGCTGTGACTGCCTTATCTTTCAGCACAGGTAAGAGTACCAGGCTTTTGGTTTATACTTTACACTTTATGTTAATAGCTGTCCATGAATTATTATTTTACCATGGTGCTGTGGAAGTTGATATGTTAGGCTGGGATACTGTAGACGTATTTCTTTATTGCTCTTAGTTACCAAAATAGAAAAATCGAAAAGGTATTAGTACTATACTATCCTGGGCCTCTTTAATCGAAATAGGTTGAACCTAGGACAATATAAATTATCATGTAAGGCTTAGAAATCTCGATATGGGGTTCTATACTTTAAACACAGCTGCTCACGTAGAAAACGTACAGTGGTTGAAGTGGGGCATGTTTTGTTGAAGGATTGGACCAAATGGAAATAAGTTGAGACGTCCAAAAGCTTATATATTGTTATGCAAGCTTAGATTTTCCATTGTTGGAATTCTCACCATGACCCGTCACATGTGGGCAACCAAGCCAAACACACTGAAAAATTAAATTGGGTGACACGGAGCATGCAAGGCTTCGATGTCATGTTAATGTCAGAGCATCCAACTAAAAACCAACTGGAAATGGGTGGAGAGGCCCATGTCATTATATCTTGTAATGCAAGGCTTGAAATCCTGGATATTTATTCTCTAAACTCCATCAGGTGCATTTTGGAATGAGTATTATTTTTCATGCTGCCACTGTCTTGCAGATAGTCTATTTTTTATGGGGACATCAATCTTGAGTTACGTTTCCTAGTTAGTTCTCAGTTGTCTTTTTTGAGTTGGGAATTATATGTTTGTCCTACGCAAAAAATAAGAGAGGGGCTTGTGTCTGCTATATTTTGACGATTATCCATGAAGTCAATTACTAATTTATGCTTACGTTTATTTATTCCTCCTTGTTAGATGGGCAGCCTCTTCTAGCATCGGGAGGTTCTTCTGGTATCATAAGCGTATGGAATCTTGAAAAAAGAAGGCTTCAATCAGTAATAAGAGATGCCCATGATGGTTCCATACTATCACTTCACTTTCTTGTGAACGAACCTGTGCTAATAAGTTCATCATCTGACAATTCTATCAAAGTAAGAGCACCTTATTGTCCTTTGTAGGTTTCATTTGCATCTAGTTGTCAAATCTGTAGGGATAACACATGCTATTTCCCTAATCATGTATTATGAGTGGAAATTTATTTGTTAATGCTCCGAAGAAACATACAACCATGATTAATCTAATTTCCTTCTTCATCAAGCAAGAAGCCATTTTATGAGTAACATGACCGCTTGAACTGTTTCTACTACTTCAGATTTATAAAATAGGTAGATACTAGATAGTAATTAGTAATTACTTAAGTGTGTCTACCAAGTTACTAACATAAGCATATTGGTTGAAAGTTGGACCCCAATATTTGTTATTACCAGACAAAAACTTTGGCCTTGCCAAGATGGTATGCTGTCCTCTCTGCCATAGGATCCGATTTGTGCTCACTTTATATCAATCATTAGTTATTTTCTTTTCTCTCTTATCTTCTTTTTCCTTGAAGTTCCACTGTGAAATGTTTCCATTTTTCATTTAATTGTTACAACTTACAATTGAGACGTCGTGGCTGAGTTACTACTTTGTTAGTTTGAACATTTCAATCATTAATATTTGAAGAATTTAAGACATTAGAAGGTTTTTATACTATCATTATTGTATGACCTTGGTTTACATAGAAAGAAGTCGTGTTTTTCCGTGCACCTGTATAATTGATTTGTACAACTCTTTATGCCCCTTAGATGTGGATTTTTGACACAACTGATGGAGATCCTCGACTTTTACGATTCAGAAG